TTTATTAACTGTTTACAATATTTGTGGTATATAATGTAGCAATGAATGCATGACCAAATGACCCCACAAGATGAACTCCAATGGCTTCTAAATAAGACAATGGATGAAAAGTTCACGAATATTGAGCTTTATATATGATTCGGATTAAATACAATAATTATTAACCTAGCTTTATGTAAAATGTACATACATGTTCTAATAATTGTATTTTGCTTCATACAATGCATATGTGTCAATGTGTGTGAAAACATTACATTATTCAGCTCACTCCCCTTTGGGGCTTTTCAGTCACCGCTTACATCAAGTATTAGGGTTACTTATGTTAGTCTAGACTATTTATCTTTATAACAATGAGAATATGATATCACTTTTCTAACTGTGTTTATTCTAACCCACCCTGCCATATTTTGCCTTGTGGGAGGAAACCGGAGCAAAATATAAAATTCAATTACCTTGAAAACACAGGTCAAAATTGCAATCCCTAAAATTTAGAATTTTCTCTTAAATCGCCTAAAATCGCATTAAATCGCAATGCTTGAAAGTCCCAGTTTTTCCTTAAATCGCCTAAAATCGCATTATATCGCAGCGATTTAAGGCGATTTACCGCCCCAGAGTAGGCCTTGTGAAGTACGTCATATATCTCTGAGGAAGCAACGTGTGCCTTGCCGAATTTTGATAGTTGTTTAACAAGGGCGGATGATGTGGCTCGACCCATGAGAATATTTTGTTCATCTTCGGTAATAGACAGGAGCGGCGTCGTGGCTGAATAGTCTATTGCTGCGGATTTTCAGTGCCTGGATAGCCAACAAACATTGTGAAGAGATTTGGTACTTGGCGGCCAGTGAGTCCGTGGTTTGCAAGTCATTTATCATCACAAGGAAGAAGAGGGGTCCAAGTTTTGTACCTTTTGTACCTTTTAATAATAAAAAATAAATTAATTAATGTTGTGCCTTGTTCTCCAATAAAGTTATGCAAAATGTACGTAATTCTTCAGTATTAAAACACTTATATTAAATATCTAAGCATAAGCATTGGAGCCCCTAATTTCCTATCGTATTACACTTGCAAGAGCTGCGAAAACAGTCGGTTCTGATTGGACATGTTCAACTGTGCGCGAACCTTTGACCTTGATACAATGATATGCAAAAGAATTAAAGATTATATTTATATATTTGTTATTGACACGCGGTGCTCATAAAATGTTTCGCCAATTTTTCAAGTCTGTTAATTACAATAAACGACAAGATAAATGCCATTGGGTAAAATGACTTATCGCGAAGTAACAAAGACAACAATTATTCCAATTAATAAAGCGTTTGCTACGTTTCTGGTTCTACGTTATTTCTAGACGGCTGACTAAAGTCACGGTAAGTGTCATTAAATTAAACGCGCGCCGAAATATTTATTTGTCAATTGCTGTATAGCTGTTATGGTATATGTTATATGACTTATATGTAGCGTATAAGGGGCGGTCAAGGATTCTAATAAAACCTCACGGTGAGCTCACACTCACAGTCTCACAGCTCGTTAATATGAGTCCCACAATCAATCGTTGCTCCGTTGTTGGCCAAAATGAACGCTGTTGTTGTGAGTGTAGACGGGGCAAAATATCCAATAGAGCTACCGAGCGCGATGGCTTTATTTTCGACGAATTGTCTCACTTGGTGTTCAAAGAGATCGGAATAGTTATAGGACATTTCAGAAATGCGTTTGTGAAGAGCTGTCCACGTTGATTCCTGCTGTCTAGCGACTTTAGTTAGAGGATTGGAAGCCATCGTATTTATACGTTGCAGATTAATGTCTTTGAGTAATTTCGCAAACGGCACGAGAGTTTGTAATGGCAGTTTGGAAGTGAGGTATGTGCGCATGGTGTATTAATATTCAGTGTGAGATATTTGATTCGAGCATATCGGATCCTCTAACATCCTGTTAAGGAAGTGATACGAGTTAGCGTTGTGACGCGAAATTCCTGACTTGCAAAATATCTGACTTTTGTTACGATTTTTAGGGAGGGAAATAAGTTTAGTACGCATTCGCATGAAAAATTGCGTAAATAATGTATAGACGAAAGAAATAATTAGTTATATGTGACACGCGCAATTTTTAGACAAAGGAGCCACAAACATTTTGTCGGCTTGATAAGTAATAATTTCGCACATGCGAAAAGGTTCTAAGCAGAATATAAGTGTGCATGATTGTACTGCTCTTGGAATAGCATATTTGTTAAATAGTTATGTGTATACGATAACTATTGACCGTATAAAAATACCATAAAGACAAGAAAAACTTGTTTGACAGATAGGTGATTGATGAGGTAATTAAGGAAGCTTGAGCATGTAGAAGGCGGAACATTTGTAATGTAGATGACATGGTATCAATTATTATTATAATTTCGTTTTCATGCAATTCAAACAGTACAGCTTAATATAGGCATATAATGTATCGCAAAGCAGAAGTGACAGATGTCGGAGTTCAAGTTGTTGGAAAGATAAAAAAGGCAAAAGAAATTCAAACGGAATTGTCATTCCCTGAATGTAAAAATGTTGGAACGCAATGCATTGAACACGAAGGGGAAGGAAGCTACCACGTAAAAAATGCGACAAAAATGGTTACTGGACTTATGACAAACTGAAGGACGAAGTACTCTCAAACAAGAATAGCGTGCAAAGTTGGCTTATGGAGAGGAAACTGATTGCGAACAGCAGGTTGTGCCCTCAATGTGATGGTGAGATGAAATTGGTTGAGTGCAATGATAGGTCAGATGGTTGTAAGTGGGAATGTAGGAAACAGTTGAATAGTAAAAGGCATAAGGTTGAGTTGTCAATTCGAAAAGGTAGTTGGTTTGAGAGAAGTAATTTAACGTTGGAAGAAATTTTAAAGTTGACGTACTGGTGGTGTAGAGGCGTTGAACAGGAAATGATGAGGTTTGAAGTTGATGTTAGTGGAAATACAGTCGTTGATTGGGATAGCTTTTGTAGGGAAATCTGTGAGGTGAATTATTTAGAGTGTGAGGAAAAAATTGGTGGTCCAAATAAGAGGGTGCAAATAGACGAAAGTAAATTTGGAAAACGCAACTATCACAGAGGTCATATATAAGGTAGAAGGGCAATGGGTGTTTGGCGGTATAGAGGAGGAAAGTCGGAAAAGTTTTATGTTCGCGGTTGATGACAGAAGCGAAGCGACGCTACTGCCAATCATCGAAACCTTCATAGAAAAGGGCACAACCATAATATCGGATTGTTGGAAAGCCTATACGAATCTCGAGAAACATGGTTACAAGCATTCGCTTGTAAATCACCTCAAAGGAATTTGTGAACAAGGATGGTGACCACACCAACAAAATCGAAGGACATTGGCGTCAGGCGAAGGCAAAATTACCAGCATTTGGCATACGCAAGTATATGTTTTCGTCATATTTAGCTGGGTTTTTGTGGAGATATGAACACAAAGGTGAAGACTTATTTGAGGTTTTCTTAAAGGATGCAATGAAAATATACGGACAGTTTTAAAAGCGAAACAATGTTTGTGGATTGAGAAAGCAAAATGATGAATGAATAAGTAGCAAAAATAGAAGTGTGTTATCTATACATGCATATTGTATAATAATTAATGTATAATTTGTGTAGGTTTACAAGATATAAACTAAGTTTGAGTGCTAGCTGAGTGTATGTTCTGATATGAATTAATATATGCATGCATCAGTGGTGCATCGTTTATTTGTGTGTGTATTAAGAAATACAATAACAGGCCGGTGCATGATGTTTTTGTATGGTAGTGCGGGTTTATTGAGAACGAGAAATACAATATACTGATGTCTGATGAGTAATATATTTTGCGCTGTTTATTGAGAACGAGAAATACAATATATGAGTCGAGTAACATTATTCAACTGATATATGAGTAATATTTTGTGCGGGGCAGTTTATTGAGAACGAGAAATACAATATACTGATGAGTAATATTTTGTGCGGGGTTTTATTGAGAACGTGAGAAATACAATATACGAGTAATATTTTGTGCGG